AGACTGGTGGAAGTACTTTGACCTAAAGTTCCAATGGCCTTGGTGTAAGGCTGGTTCTAGAACTCTCCTGTGACAGATGCTGTCCTCAGATCTCATACATACATGAGATTTCTTCTCAAGGACTCATCATTCATTCATCTGTGAAAGGGCCGCACAGACATCTCCATTTTGCATCTGACAATTGCCACACTTTGGACCGCTAGTTTTGTCATCTTTTATCCAGCATTTCTTTTTACTCTGGGAATACTGATCTAAACAACTGAGTCCACCATTACAAGAACATACAAATCCACCTGCACCTACTCTAACTCTTGGAGAAGAAAATAGAACCAGAGGAGAAATCCAGCTGAGTGTAAAAGAGCCTTGCAGGCCTTGGCTCTCAGAGCGGCCATGTCAGGCCTCCTCCCCCACCCACCCCCACTCCCCTCCCCCACATGGAGAGTAAGCATGTGCCACAGGAGCCGCCGTGTCACCTCGCCTGTACCTGTTCACTCCTGCTGGGCGAAGGAGAGGAACGGGGTAGATATGGAAAGCTGGCCCCAAACAGCCAGCTGCTACGCAACGCCGCCTGTGTCAGTAGTATTCAGTGGGAGATGGAAAGCTTGACCCAACTATGTCCTCTGTCCTCTCAATCACTGTCCAGCGATAGGGAGAATATGGAAGTAAGTCATCGGAGCTCAGATTCAATCCTGTGAAACCAGAATTTATGGAGCAGCTGCTAAGAGCCTGATGCTTAGTACTAGAACCTTAGTATTAGAGCTTTACTACTGAACTACTAAGAGCCTTGGATACAAGTTGTATTGAGCAGCTACTAAGAGACTCTGTGTGTGTGTGTGTGTGTGTGTGTGTGTATACAGCTGCAGCCTAGGGGTGGTCAGAAGCTAGCTTGGAGCTCACAGCTAAGTTTAGCCCATCTCCTGCTGAACATAATCACAGAACATGAGCTCCAGTCAGAGTCACGCCGAGATCATGAGAAAAAGAGAAAAACAAGGCCATGTCATAATTTTGTCTAAGCGAAGATAGAAACAAGGTCATTGTGCAACTCATGAAATACCAAAGAACTCTTCTTCCAGCTAATACAAGTCATTGCTGATTCACTACTTACAACCCAGCTTGCCTACTCTTCCCCACTGAGTACTGGGCATAGCTAGCTCCTGTGGTCTGAGAGCATTCGATCCACAGTAAACTCCATGTCCTCACATGTTCCCACAAGCCTTCCAATCCGGGTCTGAATCCAACAACAGGAGCTCAGCTCCCTCCTGCCCACAAGTCCTAAACTTTGCCCAGGTTTTGCAGCACAATGACAAAAAAACAAAAAACCAACTGGTTCAGCCACAAGTTTGCTCTGGTGTGTTCAGGGCAGAAGCACTGCCATTTCAAACGGCATCAGTCTGAATTTGCAGATGATCTAAAGATTAATTTAATGCATAACTACAGATGAAAAGACAAAGCTAGAATTGGAGCAAAGGCCCTTTGAATGCTTCTGCCTAGGAAGACAGGGAGGGAAAGACAAAAGATGTCCCCAACCAAACATACGACCTCACCAGTTGAAATGACGCTTTCAGAGAACATCTCCACCTTGTAATGTTTATAAAACACATCTTGAGCCAAACTTTGCAATCAGGGGAAATTATTTAGATACAATTTTATTTGTTCTAGAGGAAAATCTGCTCTACCATAGGAGAAATCCATTACAGTGACCAGGTTCGTGTTTCTCCTGGTAGGTTTTGGCTGACGGGGATTTAAGCCATTAAAAACCACAGCTAGCAGAGCACTGACGGCTCACACCTGTTACTCTAGCTACCCGGTTGAGTGAGATCAGAACATCGTGGCTTGAAGTCAGCCCAGGCAGAAAAGTCCATGCGGCTCTTCAATTAACTACCAAAAATGCCAGAGTGGAGCCGTGGCTCAAGTGTAAGAATGCTAGCCTTGAGCAAAATAAAGCTCAGGGACTGCTGGGCGATGGTGGCTCACCTGTAATCCTAGCTACTCAGGAGGCTGAGATCTGAGGATCATGATTTGAAGCCAGCCTGGGCAGGAGAGTCTGTGAGACTCTTATCTCCAATTAGCCCCCAGAAAACTGGAAGTGGTACTGTGGCTCAAAGTGGTAGAGTGCTATCCTTGAGTGATAAAGCTCAGGGACAGCGCCTAGGCCTGGGGTTCAAGTCCCAGCACAGGCACCAAAAACAAATAACAAAAGACAGCTATAAACAAACCATGGAGAGACAACCCTACTGCATCCTCTCCTCTCTCAGCAATGGTGGAGGAGGAACTCTGAGACTTGGATTCCTCTGTACCTGAACTTTAGTGACCTAAAAGACATGAGTGGGAGATGACTCACTGAATAGCACCTTCCATCTAAAAAAAAAAAAAAATTAAAGCCATGTGAATAAGTTAGTAAAGCAAAATAGAAATTAAAATGCATAAGCTTAGCATGGCAGTTACACACCTGTAATCCCAGAATTTGGGCTTATGAATCTGAGAGCAAGAACTTTAGGGTTCATACATAGTGAGATAAATAGCATGACACTGCCTCAAGAAAAAGATAAAGAAAAGTAATGACTTAAGGGTGTGGTTTGATGGTTGAGCACCTGTCCCAGTGGGTTTAATCTCCAGAATAAGAAAAAAAGAGACCAACAACAGCAACAAAACAATAAAAGGTATAAGTGACAAGAGTGCATGCCTATAATCTCAGTAGTCAGGAGAATTTTGGAGTTTCAGGCCAGCTTGGGTTACATGATTACACAATGCCATCCTATCTCAAAAAAAAGTGAAGAATATAAGGGACAGCAGGCAAACCTTCATACTAAAGCAAGGTGAATGTATCACTTTGTATTTAGCATAAGTAATTGTGTTATCTGGATTCCCACCACAAAAAGAATCTTAGTTCTAAGTCACACGAGTGTAATTCTAAACTTAAAACAAGTTAGTGTTGGCATATTAAGTAAATACTATAGTGCTAAAAAAAAAAAGTGATATGCTATGTAGTTGAAGTTCAGATTTAACTGGGCATCCTGTAAATTCTTTGGCAACTCTGTGTAGCTGTTAAAATTCAGTTTATTGATTTACCAGTAGGTGGCTCTCCAAATCTAGTTTAAGTCAAAACAGAAAGCTCAAAACTAGTAACATCTCAAAGTTCTTGTTACTTGAAATGATTGATCAGTTTGGTCTGGTTTGTTCACTTATATATTAAATATGCTTCCATTTCATATGGCGCTCCATGGTTTTTTAACTTTTTCCTATTTGTGGGTTATCGTATAATAGTTCAATATATGAATACAATGTATAATGACCAACTCAGGGTAGTTAGCATTTCCATCTTTTTATCATGTCTGTACTCGGAGCCTCTGAGTGCCTCTCTTTTAGTTATTGTCAAATATATAATAGATTATCGTATGCTAAAGTCATCCACCTTCCCACCTGCTTTCCTCTCCATCTCCTTTCTTCTGATTTCATTCTCATTGACTATTCTTAGTCTTTGTTGAAATCTAGCATTTCCCTAACTTCACGCCCTTCAGCCTTAGTTTGAAATGAATCAAGAGCATCTAAAACTTGGGAGCCATAGTTCAAGAACCTTCATAAAAAAAAAACAAACCTTCATCTTATTGGCCTGCTGCCTTCCCCGCTATATCTCTGTTGAATCTTCACTATCTATGGTCTCTATTTTCCAGCTTCTAGAAAAACACAAAAGCAATACTAGAAGGGTGCACAAGGCAATCAACTACTATTATTTCCCAGATGGGGAGCTAGATAGCTGGCAGTGCTAGGGTTTGAACTCAATGTCTCATGTTTATGAGGTAAGCATTCCCCCACGTGAACCATTCCATCGACTACCTTTTTACATTGGGTATTTTTCTTTTCAGCAGTATGTCAAACGGCATGACTTACTCATTATTCAATCATTTTAGTCACTTATTACTGTTGAAAAATAAAGTATATCAGACAAAGGATGAGCATTTTCTCTTGTATGTTTAAGACTTTAGTTAGAAATATATATGTAGAGTCATATATATATATGTAGGGTCATATGCAGATATACACAAACTTATTAAAGTTTGGTCTATGCAGCGGAGGATTCCAGTGGCATAACTTCTTTGAACAACTAATTTAACAGCTTAAGGGGAGTATGGGGGGGGGAAGTCAATTGTTTTTTGAAAGCAAACCTTAACAGGTATCAGGTGTGTTAAGCTAGTGAGACGTGGGCCAAGCCAGGCAGGTAAGTCCTCTTGGCAGGCTTAACATTGCTTGGTGTGATTCTAGAAATGACAGAGATTATTACCGCATGTCAGAATTGCTGCCTCTGATGCCCGAGAGGGCAGATGTCCTCATACTCAACTACTGAGCACCTGAAATGTCACTCATGTAGCTGAAGCACTGAATTTCTAATTTTATTTTTAAGTTTAAGTAGTCACCAAAAGTGTCAGAATTTGTCATTCTGATGAGTATTAAAAAACCACCAGAGAGCTAGCCTTGAGAAGAAAAGCTCAAGAACATAAAGCAACTATAAACCACTTCAAATGATAGATGTGATGGTCCACACCTGTAATCCCAGCTACAACAGAGGCCTAGGCAGGATCATGGCGAGCAGCCAGCCTGGTAAAATGTGTAAGACACTGGAAAACATCTAAAGCAAAAGTACTGGGGGTAAACATAGGGGAACGGCTCAAGCAGCAGGGCGTTTGCTTAGCAAGTATAGGCCTTGAGTCCTAACTCGAGCTTTGCAAAATAAACACGCAAAAAAAAAAAAAACTTTGTGCTCGAAGATGCTTTACGTGCCATAATATAGCAGTCCTCCCCTCTCGCTCAAGACATGCTTGTTGAACAATAAGCCATCATATCTTCTGTGGGCACACGCGAATACCAGTTCTCGGACTTGAACTCAGGGCTTCAAACTCTCCCATGGCTTTTTTTGCTCAAGACTGGCATTGTACCACTGAGCCACAGCTTCACTTCTGGCTTTTTTCATAGTTAATTGGAGGGAGGAGGCTCATGGACTTTTCTGCCTAGGCTGGCTTTGAACCTTGATCTCAGCCTCCTGAGTGACTAGGATTACAGGCGTGGGCCATCCATCTCCATTGACTGGCTGTTTATCGTCTGTCGGAGTGTCTGTGTTGTCTGTGGTTTCTCTCAGTGGACACACTGGCAGCCCTGGAAGGAACGAGACGTGTCTGCTCAGCCCTCCTTCCTACGGGTTTCCGGTGACACAGAACAAGACGTAATTGACCACCGACGGCAGGGCGGAGTTCACTACGTACGCGAGGTTCCTCTCCTGTGCAACCCCTCCCGACCCCACTGGCTGTCCCACCAGGACGACGCCCCGATTTTCCGGGAGCCCAGCGATATTCAGTGATGTCTGAAGGCCCCCAGAGGGGCCCTGCGAGGGCGCCACGCTGCCTGCGCCCACCGGGCTGGGGCCCTGTGCGCCCTGCGCGGGGCCTGGCGGCCCGTGGCTCTGCGCAGGACTCCCCGGCGCGGGATCGTGGGTCCCGACCCGCGCGTGTATTCGCTTATGCTTCGCCAGGCAGGACATGTAGGCGAAGGCCTTGCCGCACTGGTCGCAGGCGTACGGCCGCTCGCCGGTGTGCGTCCGCTGGTGGACCACCAGCTTGGGCTTGGTGGTGAAGGCCTTGCCGCACTCGCCGCAGCCGTAGGGCCGCTCGCCGGTGTGGATGCGCTGGTGCTTGATGAGGCCGGCCTTCTGCGAGCAGAACTTCCCGCAGCCGTCGCACATGAAGGGCGTGCGGCCCGTGTGCAGCCGCTGGTGCGCGATCAGGCACATCTTCTGGATGAAGGCCTTGCCGCACTCGCCGCACGCGTGGGGCCTCTCGCCCGTGTGGATCCGCTGGTGGATGATGAGGCTGCCCTTCTGGACGAAGCCCTTCCCGCACTCGCCGCACTTGTGGGGTCTCGAGCCCGTGTGCGTTTTCTCGTGGATGTCCAGCCGCGATTTGCGGAGAAAGGCTTTCCCACACTGGGCGCACGCGTACGGCTTCTCTCCCGTGTGCGTGCGCCGGTGCTCGGTGAGCATGAACTTCCGGGAGAAGGCGCGGTCGCACAGGTCGCAGCGGTAGGGTCTCTCCCCGGTGTGCACCACCCGGTGATCGCGGAGCCAGCACTTCCGGCTGAAGCCTTTCCCACACTCGGCACACACGTGCGGCTTCTTGGCTTTCTGACTTGTCTCGCGCGTGGGCCCGGCGGGGGGCGATCCCGCGCCGAGGGGTATCCGGCTCGTGGAGACTTCGGTCTCGCCATTGGCCCGCCGAGAGGAAGCCCCAGCCGGGGACCCCGCACGGCTGTCCGGGGCAACGCGGGTGACATCGGGCGGCGCGCTTTCCCCGCGGAGGTGAACGCCATCCGGACCGGTGTCCCGGCACGGAAGCCGCGCGGGACACGGCCCTGCCTCGCTCCCCTCGCCCCCCAGCCGCGACGGCTTCGGCCCGCCACGATCGGCCGCGCCGGCGTCGGCCCGGCTGCCCGCCGTCCACGGTCCTCCCCGGAGCAGCGTGGACAGGGCGCCTGGCTGGCCGGCCCCACCGCCCACGGCCACCAGGCTGCGGTAGTTCTCCAGCATCACGTCCCGGTACAGGTCCTTCTGCGCGGGGCGCAGCAGCCGCCACTCCTCCCAGCTGAACACCACCGCCACGTCCTCCAGCGTCGGCGGCTCCGGGGCCTCGAGCATCGCGTCTCCTGCGCGGGGACAGCGCTGGTCTCGGTGACTTCTGCGCCCGCAAGTCCGATCCGGCGGCCTCCTCCCTTAGGGGCTGGTGTGCTTCCGGGAAGGCAGGACCTTCCTCCTCCGCAGCCGCCAGCACCCCAGTGCAGGAGCGAACCGGGACCTCTACGGCGGCCCGGGGGAGTCTAGAATCCTCGGGGCGGACGGACAGCCGCCTTGACCGGGTAATATGGCCGCTCCCGTACGGACGCCGACACACGGGGGCGGCCATGTTGGAGGCTTTCCGTACGGATGCCCCAGGGGCGTTTGGAGTCTCGGCGGTCCCCAGCGACTCCCCGGGAACACGAGCCGCGGGAATCGCCTCCTTCCCTGCACTTTCGGTCTTGCGGGAAGTGGACAGATTTCCAGATGCATAGGTTTTATAAGGCAGTTATGGAGCTGGCCAGAATTGCTTTAGCAATTTTCAACACTATGCCCTCAGTCTTTATTGTCGGCTAAAAAAAAATACCCAATCCTGGGCAGAAAAGGGAAGCGCGTGAACTGAATCCCAAAGAAAGGGTCTGGTGACAGTTGCTGGCAGGAAGCGGTTTTTAAACGAGTGCTGTATGAGTCAGGCCATTGCAGACAAGGGGGACAGAGTGGAAAGGAGAAGTTGAAGTTACCATCAGGGTTAAGGCCTTGGGGAAAATGAGTCACAGAGTCCAACAAAGGTCTGGCCCGTGGGAAGGACAGAACTAGAGCAGAGTGCAAAAATATTAGGCTCAAGTGCCTTTCATTTTTGTGCCCATCCTGGGGCTTGAAGTCAGGGCCTGGCCACTGTCCCTGAGCTTTCTGCTCAAAGCTGGCACTCTACCGCTTGAGCCACAGTGGCTTTTTCTGTGTATGTGGTGCTGAGGAATCGAACCCAGGGCTTCATGCATGCTAGGCAAGCACTCTACCACTAAGCCACATTCCTAGCCTTTATTTATTTTATTGTAAAGATACTGGAACCGGATTGAGCCAGATATACTGGATTCAACCAGTTTGAGCCGGATCCAGCCAGATGGAACTGGATTGAACCGGATCAAGCCGGATGGACCCGGCTCAAGCCGGTTTGAGCCCGACAGAACCGGATCGAACTGGATTAAGTCAGACAAGCCGGTTTGAGCTGGATCCAGCCAGATGGAACAGGATTGAGCCGGCTCGAACCGGATCAAGCCGGATTGAACCGGATCAACCCCGTTTGAACTGATCAAGCTGGTTTGAGCTGGATCCAGCCAGACAAAACCGGATTGAACCGGACCGAGCTGGATTAAGCCGGTTCGAGCCAGATCCAGCCAGGTGGAACAGGCCGGATCGAACTGGTTTTGAGCCGGATTGTACTGGATCAAACTGGATGGAGCCAGATCGAACCATATCTAGCCGGGTTAAACCTGTTTGAGCTGGATCTATCTGGGTTGAACCAGATGGAGCCCGATTAAACCGGATCTAGCAGGATGGAACCCAGAGCTGGATGGAACCGGCTCAAGCTGGATTAAACAAGATTAAACCGGTATAAGCAGGACTGAGCCAGATTGAACTGGCTCGAGCCAGATTAAACCGGTTTTGAGCCAGATTAAACCGGATTGAGAGGATGGAAGGAGGGAGGGAGGAAGGAAGGAATTATATCAACCACAAGTACATTTCATATACTTTTTACATTTCTTTTTTTTTTGGGGTCCAGTCGTGCGTCCTGAACTCGGCCTGGGCGCTGTCCCTCAGCTCTTCAGCTCAAGGCTAGCACTCTACCACCTGAGCCACAGCGCCACTTCTGGCTTTTTTCTTTTTGCTTATGTGGTGCTAAGGAATCGAACCCAGGGCCTCAAGCATGCAAGGCAAGGTCTCTACCACTGAGCCACCTTCCCAGCCCAGAACTAGGTAACTTTCTATACCCAAATCAGAGTGAAGCAAGTGAGCAAAATGTCTTTGGACTGTCTCCGTGGCTGACACACGCTAGCACTTGGAGTCAAGGGCGAGGAATGCTCATTTTCAAATACCTCAAATACTCTACCTCCTGGCGAAAGAAAATCACACTTTTGAGTCCCCTTGGCCAAAAGCCCCAAGGGTTGTCTATCTTTTTCATTTTCTACACCTTGTCTGACTTAATGTTCTAATCATATTAAACAAATGGGACTTAAAGACTTTCTTATTTTTTTATCTTGCCATCCCACGTTCACAACAACTGAATCCACAAACTTATCTCTATGGTTATTTATTTTTGGGTCCAGTCGTGGGGCCTGAACTCTGGGCTTGGGCGCTGTCCCTCAGCTCTTCAGCTCAAGGCTAGCACTCTACCACTTGAGCCACAGCGCCACTTCCGGCTTTTTTCTTTTTGCTTATGTGGTGCTGAGGAATTGAACCCAGGGCCTCATGCATGCAAGGCAAGCACTCTACCACTGAGCCACCTTCCCAGCCCTATGGTTATTTTTTTTACAGTGTACACTGAAATTGAATATTTTCTTCTCCGGTTCCTTCTTCTAAGACACTGAGTCTGCAGGAGTGTGTAAACCAGGAGAGGTGTGGATGAAGGCTTATGCGCATGATTAAAATAAATAGCAACCATGAATTTGCTAACCCACAAACTGCCTATGCTCTATTTTGGGAATATGGATTCTTTCCTTAAATCTTGTTTTCAATACAGACAAGTGTCATTTACACAACACAAAGAAGCACTTCATATTTTGAAAGATATTTTAGAGTTTTAGCTATCAACTGTCGTACATTTTCTACAGATGGTACATGATAAAATGTACCATGACCTTCAAGACACCTTCCATGTTTTAACTTTCTGTGAGAGATATTTTACTAGCATCTGGGAATAAAAAAAGGTATATAATGAAAATGACCATAAAGGGTACTGAGAAGGTGGCTCAGTGGTAGAGTGCTTGTCTTGCATGAATGAGGCCCTGGGTTCCATTCCTGAGCACTACATAAGCAGAGAAAGCCAGAAGTGGCACTATGGCTCAAGTGGTAGAGTGCTGACTTTGAGCTGAAGAGCTGAGGGACAGCTCCCAGGTCCTGAGTTCAAGCCCCATGACTGCCCAAAACAAAAACAAAAAAAGAAAAAAAGGAAGAGTCAAGAAAATCCAGCAATTTCTTGGGTGCAAGGTACCTGATCATTTTTATACCTTTCCTTCTTACATTCAGGGCTGAACACAAAAGACAGGCACATAGGACTTCTTGCATGCATGCATGTATGTGTTATGTATGAACAGAATGTTTCCAGTAAAGGAAACTTCTGACATTCTGAGGAGAACAGGTGGATTTGTGGGAGAAGAGATCTGTTACAGAGATGGCTCATTTGCCCCCATTATTCACCTCCCTTTCTCTTGTGCTTCTAGTTTCCTTGCTTTTTAGCTTGATGCATTTGCTAACCTCCTTCGTTGCTGAGAATGTCACGTGACTAAGTTCTAGTAAAAGGGATATGGACACAGTGAAAGGTGTACCCTTCAGGTCACAGCAGGTAGATACATAATGCATCTAAGTTCAGAAAATGCTTATATAAAGGTCATATGCTGCAGACAAGTGGGGAAGGGCTTTAAGATTGAGGGAACAGTGTGTATAAAGAAATGGAAATTTAGGGACTGGTTGAAGGATGTCACACACTGAAGATGGGAAGGAAAGGCCAGATTGCCCAAAGGTTTGGATTTATCCTGTAGCCAAGGAGATATTGTAGGACAGGTGTGTAAGATGGAAATATCACCTCTTTGACGCAAAATACCTGGGGATTGAATCTGGTTCATAGAAAACGCAGAAATTCAGCCAGGCCCAAAGGGCTTTTCCAAGTTAACTTGGATAGAGGCAGAATCATTATTTCAGAATTTTCCAAACCGCACTTTTCTGGCTGACTGCATTAAGATCAACTTGGGTTACTTGCTAAAAAAAAAAATGCAAGTTTCTGGGTTACACTCGGGAAGGACCAGGATTCCCCCCCCCCCCCCCCATTGTGCTGGTACTGGGGCTCGAAGCAGGGCCTGGGTGGCCGTCCCTTCTCTCTTCTCCCTCAACTCTGGTCCTTTGCCGCTTGAGCCACAGCTCCACTTGAGACTTTTTTTTTTAAGGTAGTTTAATTAAGGGGTTTCACGGACTTTCCTGCCCGGGCTGGCTTTGAACTGCGATCCTCAATTCCCAGCCTCCAGAGTAGCTAGGATCCTCCTTCCTTCCCCTCCCTCCTCCTCCCTCCCCTCCCTCCTCCTCCCTTTCCCTCCCTCTCCTTGCCAGGTCTTTGGGTGCTCGGCAGCGAGAGGCTCCTCAAGTTCACCGGGCTACGTCAAAAATGTGCACTAAGTACGTACAAAGCAGTGGCAGGCGCGATCTCCCGGCGAGCTCGGAGGAGGGCCGGGCCGAAGCAGGTGCCCCGGCGCGCGCCGGCGCCGGCCACGCCCCGCGGGAAGGCCCGGAGCAGGCGCGGCGCCCCGCCCCCCGTTGCTATGGAGACGCGGGCCCTGGACGAGTCCATGGTGACTGACGCGGTGGGGGGGGGGGGAGAGGGAGGGCCGAACCGACCCCTCCGCTCCCCACGCCGGAGGCGCCCGCGGGGCTGCGCGTCCGGCCGTCTCCCGCCACGCCCGCGCAGGTGGCCGCACGAGGCCGGGCGAGGCCCTCGGGGAGCGGACCTCCTTCCCGGAGCCCGAGCGAACTGGACGCCAGGGGCGCCTCCCCCCCCTGCCCGAACCCGGCCGATGGGAGCGGCTGTATTTGAACCAAACGGCCTTCGCGGGCCGCCGCCGCCGCCGCCGCCGCCGCCGCCGTCGCCGCCGCCGCCGCCGCCCGGGCTTCGGAGCCGCCCGTGTCCATTCCCCGCCTCAGGTTCCCGCAGAGCCGCGGCAGCCGCGGGAAACATCTGCCCCCAGGGTGAGGGCGGGCCCCGTCCCCGCTCCCCCCTCCCCGCCCCCCCTCCGCCCCCCCTCCGCCCCCCTCTCCCGGCGGAACGCGCGGCTTCGGGGTCCCCCGACCCCCCGAAACCGCCACCTCTGAAGCCGACTGTGTGCCGTCGGCCCCGGGGCTTGAACCGGGGGGCAGCTCAAGGCTGGCGCTGTGCCGTTTGAGACGCAGCTCCGCGCCAGCCTTTCGCGGCCTCACGGACTGTGCTGCCGAGGCTGGCTTCGAACCGCCAGCCCCCGAGCTCGGCCTCCCGAGCAGCTGGGGTTCCAGGCGGCGCCCTGCTGACACCGCCCGGGGTGGGGTGGGCGCGGGCGCGGCGGGGGGGGGGGGATGCACCGCCCGACTTTCCCTCCGCAGAGACGATGCTGCAGACACCAGGAAAGCCTCTTCCCGCACCACCGGAGTTGTAGGGAGGCTCGAGTTCCCGCCCAAGGCCGCCGAGGGGCGAGATGCTGAGCTCCACCGACGACCTGGAGTTTGAGACCGCCGAGAACATCGAGGAGATCTCCCAGCTGTCCGCCCTGGAGCTGTCGGACACGGCCTCCAGCGAAAGAAGTTCAGCCGATACCCCCGAGAAAACTGGTTACCCGGACTCTGTGTACGTGACGGCGGCGAACGTGTTTCGGGGTATTCGAATCGAGAAGTCGCCAGACAAAGCCATAATCAAGTACGGGAGCGAACCCCTGCAGTCCCTGCCCCAGTATGAGGACGAGTCCTTGCAGCGTTTGTCCTACGAGCTGGCGTTCAGTACCCTTAAGTGTGAGTAGCCGTGCCGGCCCGGGGAGGAGGGGGGCCGGGGCTCTGGCCGGCGGCACACAGCACTGGAACCAGCTAGCTTCCTGCTGTTTGAAGGACCGTGCATTCCCTGCCTTGACGCAGGTGTAAGTGCACGGGCGTTAACAGGCTCAGCAAACAGCCTGGACGAGGAAGAGAACAAGAGTTCACTGGAGAATCCGGTTTAAACTCCTCGCCTATGTATTTGCATCGCACCCTTGTGTAATTTCACTTTGTATGTTTGCTTATGCGTTTTTCACACACATAAAAACCATTGGGGGAGAGTGGAAAGAGGAATAGAGACGAAATAAAAGGTGTAATACGTATATATTTTTAAAAGGAAGTACCAGGACTGGGAGAGGTGGTTCAAGGGAGAGCGATTGCCATGACTTCAAATCCTAGTGCAATCAAGAACAAAACAAGCAAATGTCCCCCTTCCCCTCCCCCCAAAACAAACAAAACACCTCTTTAAAAGTGAATACCAAAATTAAGTCAACTCCAATCAAGATATCTTGTTCCTATTCTCTAGCTAACAGCTTTAACTTAGGGAGTCAAACTTTGGTAAAATTTAACTTTCTAATTTGTCTGGAGGGTTCCAGACTTGAATTTCCAGAGCCAGTAATGTTAGTTAACAACTTGCGAATGTAGCGTTGACTCTTGGATAACTGGCTGCTCTTCCTGGGGCGAGAGCTGCCAGAGGCCCTTGAGTCAGGAACTGCAATTCTGATGGTGCCCGCAGAGGTTTTCCTTGTATCTCAAACATTGTAATCATGTAATCCTGGCTACTCAGGAGGCTGGCTGGTTTGTAATATCTGTCCAAAGAAATATTACAGAAAAGTTTGGAGTGTTCAGCATAGCTGAAATCATGAACTTGTTGCTTCCGAGAGACACCTTGAAAAGGGCAAAAGCCATTTGCAATTTCCTTACTACAGTACTAGTACAAGTGCTACTTGCATCTTTGCACCTAGAAAGCAGAGAAAAATTGTCATTTGAATTGAAAGGTTCCATTGATTATTTAGTTGTCTTCAGAGATGGCTGGAAGTAATTCCAGTTTTTTTTTTTTTTTTTTTTGGGTCCGGTCGTGGGGCCTGAACTCTGGGCCTGGGCACTGTCCCTCAGCTCTTCAGCTCAAGGCTAGCGCTCTACCACTTGGAGCCACAGCGCCACTTCCGGCTTTTTTCTTTTTGCTTATGTGGTGCTGAGGAATCGAACCCAGGGCCTCGAGCATGCAAGGCAAACGCTCTACCACTGAGCCACCTTCCCAGCCCAGTAATTCCAGTTTTTATCTCTTTTCTTTTGCTCATGACTTCTCTTTCTTAAGTCTTAACTATTCTTTCCTTTTCTAGTTTAAGCTTTTGGACTCTTCATTCTCCACCCCACTCTATCAGCCACACTATCTCACTTTACACCAGAAGAGTCAAATGAAGATTTTTACACTTTCTCCTTTTAACACTGGAATACAGCCTGGCAGCTTTGTTGATTAATTGGTATTTAATGTTAGAGTTCTATACAGATAATTTACTTTCCTAATAGGATAGTGACTTTTTTCTTTAGAAATAAATAGTAAAAGCCTGAATTATTCTATTTACAATCAATGCATTAAGTAGATTTGGGGAGCCAATTATAAGAATTCTCCTTTCTAATTTTCAGTCCTTAGTGGTGGTTAATTTTCAACTTTTTTTTTTTTTCTTTTTGTCGTCGTGGGGGCTGAACTCTGGGTATGGGCGCTGTCCCTCAGCTTTTCAGCTCAAGGCTAGCATCCTACCACTTGAGCCACAGCGCCACTTCCAGCTTTTTTCTGTTCTGTAGTGCTGAAGAATCTAACCCAGGGCCTCATGCATACAAGGCAAGCGCTCTACCACTGAGCCACCTTCCCAGCCCAGTTTTCAACTTCTGAGTATAGAGTTTGACTGAATGTGGCTGTATTATAGAGATGTGTATAGTATATTATTTTCTTCCTCTTTGTGTGTGTGTGGGGGGGGAGAGAGAGAGAGACAGACAGACAGACAGAGAGAGAGGGAGGCAGGGAGAGACAGAGAGAGAGGGAGGGGAGAGGGAGAGGAATACTGGTGTTGAAACTCAAGGCCTCTCTCTGCTAGGCAGACATTTGAGCCTTGTCTGCAGCCTTTTTGCTTTAGTCGTTTTTCAGGTAAGGGATCATACTTTTGCTTAGTCTAGCCTGGACCCGAGGTGACAGGCATGGCCCTATGCCTGCTTTTCTGTTGAAGTGAGGTTTAGCTGTTCTGCTGAAGTTGGCCTTGAGCTTTGATTCTGCCAATCTCCACCTCCTAAGTAGCTGTGTTACAGATGTAAGACAGCCTATTTTTATGAAAGGATCTTAAGACTATTTGATCGTTATGACCAAAACATCTTATTCAGATAGATTAATCGGCTTTACAAACCTGCTTTTCCTTGAACAAAATGTTCTTTTTAAAAATAATTATCAGCCGGGTGCCGGTGGCTCACGCCTGTAATCCTAGCTACTGAGGAAGCTAAGATCTGAGGATCGAGGTTCAAAGCCAGCCCAGGCAAGGAAAGTCTGTGTGACTCTTATCCCCAATAAAACCACCAGAAAACCGGAAGTGGCACTGTGGCTCAAGCGGTAGAGCGCTCGCCTTGAGCTGAAGAGCTGAGGGACAGCGCCCAAGCCTAGAGTTCAAGCCCCATGACTGACAAAAAAAAAATCAAATTATATATTATATATAATTATATATATTGATATATCAAATTATAAAATTAGATGGTGCTGGTTGGTTACTTGTCTGAAAGTATTTTAATAAACAGAGAACTGGTGGCTCACACCTACTAAGGAGGTTGAGATCAAGAGGATCGAGGTTCAAAGCCAGCCCAGGCAGAGAGGCCCAGTGAGGCTCTTCCCCCCACCCCCACCCCCAGTCCTGGGACTTGAATTCAGCCTGGGCACTGTCCCTGAGCTTCTTTTGCTTAAGGCTAGCACTCTATCACTTGAGCCACAGCACCACTTCGGGCTTTTTCTGTTTAAGTGGTACAGAGGAATCGAACCCAGGGCTTCTACCACTGTGCAACATTCCCAGCCCCCAGTGAGACTCTATCTCCAACTAGGCTCAAGAAACCAAAAGTGGTGCTGTGTCTCATGGTAGAGTGCTAGCCTTGAGCAAAAGGAGCTCACAGACAGTACCACAGTTCAAGCCCCAGGGCTGCCTTCCCCCCAAAAGTATTTCAATAATATTTTGTTTTAAATGATCATTACAGTAATTTTTAGATATTCAGAAAGAATAAAGTCAGAATTCTGGGGGTTGGTGGTATAGTCTAGGAGCTGAGCATGTATGTTTAGCATGTGCTAGGCTTTGGGTTTGATCTCTCATCATTGGAAAATAATAGAAATTCTAATACAGTACATTTTCCAACATAACTAAAAACTAAAAATATTGGAGACTTTTGCACATTTCAACTTTATCTGTGTGAATACTGCCACTTGATGTTTCATAAATTCATATATGTCTCATAAATTTTAGGTTCAAGGATCATAGTTTAGAAAACTGGAGATATTTTGCCTTAGGGTCTTTCATAGGAGCAATACAGCTATAAATGTTATTAAAGAATGCTTGGAGCCTGGCATCAGTGGCCCATTCCTGTAATCCTAGCTACTCAGGAGGCTGAGATCTGGGGATCGTGTTTAAAGACAACCTGGGTGAAAGTCTGTGAGACTTATCTCCAGTTAACTACCGAAAAGCTGACAATAATACTGGGATAGAGTGCTAGTAGCCTTGAGCACAAAAATCTCAGAGACAGTATCCAGGCCCTGAGTTCAAGCTCCAGGAT